ACAGAGCCCAGCACACAATGCCGATTGCAAGTACTGTCGGGCGATCATAGTTTATGACCAGTACACCTGCAAGAGGTGATGCAATTCCCTGGACAAAGTTTCTCGCGAATGTGAGGTACCCCAGATCAGATGGCCCTGCAGTAAATGCTTCACTGACTTCTTTGTACACAGCTGGAAGGAGGTTCTCATCCGCACGCTCCATTATAGCAGCCATGTTGATTATCAACAGGGAGAGAGAAACCCCACAAAGTTTCCTTGCTCTGCAATCATTTTCAACTAAATCATCACATTATTCTCAAGCCAACCAAATAGGCATTTGATTAAGCAAATGACAAAGTTTGAGAATCATATACTAAATGAAACGAAGATACTTGGAAAAATATCAGAGTACTAAGGAATAAGTATTCCAAGTTGAGGAAAAACTACCCCAAATGAAAGAGATATGAAAATGAACATCAATACGATATACAGGAAAATCGCAACGGATTTTCCTAAATGTCGTGTAAACAAAGCTTGTATACTACTCCCAGAAGTGTACCGGTTCAATACACTGACTCACCTTCTACATTTTCTATGCAAAGTTGCCATCTTTAGATTTCAACCTTGGTTTCATTAACAAATTTTAACCACCAAGACAGAAGCTCTATATGTGATCATTCTTCTGAAAGAAAGGCAAAATCCCAGTTCCCACCTTCTATGAATCAATGACATGTTTTTTTTCAAATGATAAGATGTGCAAGACAAATGCTAAAACTATAATTGAATCATATGGTTGTCAATTTCTAGTTGTGGTTCTTCTTGAGCTTTTTTTGCGTTTACCTGGGAAAGCCTAAAACTATTGATCCAACCTCAAGAGTATGTTTTTTTTATTTATTAAAAAAAGATGATTAGAATTCTAAATCCTAATGGTTGAACAGCCAACAAAATACAAAAGATACACGTTGCGTATGAATCTAACCTATGGCCCAAAAACAAGAAAAGAAAAACTCACTTCATGGCTCGGGTTTCTGGGGGACGAAGATGACGCTTAGATCCGAAAAGAAAAGGATGAAAGTTAGAGGACCTAATGCTCAAACCCATGTCTCAATCAATCTGGGAGGAGATGACGGAGTCAAACGTCGAACTCCCCGCATTGCGGCATTTGCCTGGTCATGACTCGTGCGCTTACGCTGATTTCATTACCTAAAATTTTCTTTTTTTTCTTTTTTTCCTATTTCTTTCCCCATTTTACTATTTATTAAACAACTATTTTTACTTCTATTATATGTGGGAGAATTCTCAGTTAGGTTCACAAACAAAATATTCACAGACTTTACAAACTTACTATTTATGGTTTAAAATTTCATTTTAAAATTATTTTAGACCATTTAATTTTTTTTATTGAAGTTCACAAATAGTAGTTTATGACCATTACAAGTCTAGTTAGCAGGTACTAGTGACGTCGATATTGATAGTGGTGACGTTAGTAGAGTGCATCACTGACTATCGTTAGTATGACTCAAAGAATTGTTGAGAAATAACTTTAATGAATCAAGAATGAATTAGTTTAATCTCGACTATGCCGTTTGAAGACTTTAGGTTACGACTCGCGAAGAGTGAACCTACTTCGAGGTTGACGAATGCATTTAATGTCGAATACGTTACTATTAAGGTCATGTCAATAAGTTGAATGCCACCTGAAACTTGGGGACGAATCCCTGAATGTGCGCCAAGAACATGAAGTTAAAATATCCCTACGTACTGCTTGAAAGGGGGTTAAGCCCGATAATGTTGAACACCGAGTTACATCGAGTACTCGGGCCAAGCACGACCTATCGAGGGTATGAAGCCGAAACAAACACGAACACAACAAATGTGTGCGACGCAACTGCACGTTGACACTCCATCCGAAAGATGGAATTGCATCCCGACGTGACTTGAACACAGAATTGGTGACAAGAATTTCATAATTAAGACCACGTGAAATATACAAGCTAGGGATGGCATATGATACACTCACATGACGACTATGGTACGCCGTACATCCGACGAGAAACATGACATGAAAGAATACAAATGATGACGATGATCGTATGACGATGATGAATGCTGACAATACAGTACCCACGAGTACGACACACGAACCGTTAGACGACAAGTACAAAATCTAAATAGGGAATTGACATCCCGCAAGCCAATCAACGAATTGTACCAAGCGACGATGTGACATGAATAACACGTACGTGGATGACAGTCACTACAACTTTGGATGAAGTACATTGACTCGCAAAACAAACTCGCAGATGATGGATGAATCACGACGAAACTCGTTTCGCAGGAATCAAGCCGACAACTCACTATCTGATGTGGGACAACCATCAAATTTAATCACGAAAGTATGTAAATCGTATAATCAAGGGTTTTCAAAGGACTCACTTGAGAGACGCGTTGAAGAAGGACGATCCATAAGAAGTAATTCTTGAAGCACCTTGTCGAATTCATGTGATTGTACCGACATTGAGCCTGAATATCGTGACAAACGAACGACTAATATTCCTGAACTGATAAAGTTTATTTGTGATTTACATTGCATGTTGACTACACTGATTGTCCTCCACTTTGATCCATCGACGTCGGTCAGACTCCTACACGTGAATGGAGTGGTATCTCCATGACAAATTGCCAAACCTCCTCCCAAAATCAAGCAATGACGTACTTGTGGTGATAGCAATGCCTTGTGTGGCAAGAATTCTATGTAATAATGCTAACTTTGACTTTTAAACTCGTATTCTATGAAACTGTTGACTAAACCGTACTTAAGAACGTATTCAAAATAGAATGCAATTATGAAATTTTCATGATCATACTGAACAGTCTGAATGTCGCTGAAGATCTGAACGATGATTATTTTACTCCACCAACAACGAAGACACATGTATGTATGAACAAGAAGACATTGTTGTATCTCGTCACTCGAAGTATCCAAATCACCCGAATCGATCGCGTGAAGGGTCGTTGAACAAAGAGTTGTCACGAAGATCGTTACAAGTAAGCCTGGGAAAACTTTTGCCAACCAAATTCTTAAAACGAAAATCTGTAATTTCCTAAGTACCTCGACATTATCGAAGATCGTGGACGTAACCACCTGTTGAAGAATCTCCTTTCTATTCAGAAAGAGAGACGTTGATAAATAGACGATCGAATTAATTGCCACCAGGAATATATCTTGTTATGTACTTGAACAAAACAAACCAATACACTAATGGCGCGAACACATTGTCGAACATGAATAATAATCGAATAGTAATCCGCTAATACTAAGCGCCAGGAGTTCACTTCTCTCGAGAGCAACTCAAGTAGGAAGTGACAACGTCATGAAACTGACCATGATGATATGCTACAGGAATCATGATGTGATAATGCGATAGAGAACAAAACAACTCGAGACAGACTTATGAAACAACCTCTAAAACTCGAAGAGCCTAATGGTGAAACAATTTCCTAAACTCCATTGCCGACCACACGGAAGTGTGAACGTTACAAAACAATCTTGCTAATCAATGAGAAATCTTGAGAAAAATCTTATGCTGCAGTCATTAGCTAACGACACAAATGAACTTCGAATACGAACTAAATGATTGATCAAATAATTGATGCTACAATATTTTAAAGCTTAAGTATTGTTTGAACGTGCTAGGGAGGTAATCCATATATATCTGTTGAAAACAAACTCGAGAAAGACCAAATTATGAACTCGACGAACTTACCGTATATCTTGAACGAAACACGAATACAAAACTCATATGATAATACCTCGAATGATAAACGAAGAGAAATTCCACGGGAATGGTGTGGCCATTCACCTAACCATGATCATAATGCGAATGTGAAACCAAATCATTGGGGTTGGTACCTTAGAAGAATTTCAGAGACGAAATTTCTTTAAGGGGAGAAGAAATGTAACAACCCAAAAACTGGTCTAGAAGTTATTCATTATTTAAATAAATATGAATTATTTATTTATAGATTATTCTTTAAAGAATAATTAAGATATTTTGGAGATTCTAATTTTCTCACTATATCGAGACTATTCTGATTATATTTGTTAAGATCTAAATTAAAAGACTAATCCGTATTAATTTATCAAAAGAATTAAGACGGACCAGGTGGAACCTGTGAATACTTGTTGAATGATTATAAAAGTTATATCGTTGGGTTAGGATTGATGAATCGAATCCAATGATACAAATGGATCTTAATTCGGAGCAAGTTGGCCCGAAAAGTGTGTTCAGACAAATATTTTAAATTACTAGGTACAAAACCTAGGCTTATTTCACGCATCTCTTAATTCGATTGCCGCTTCCCAACCCTTTTCCTTCGATCGACGCACGCCACCGCCACAACCCCATCTTCTTCTTCTTCGGCGAGCAGCAGCATGACGGTGAGGCGACGAACCGGAACCCCCGGAGACCACATCCTGCGACCCAGTGGCTCAAGGACTCGGCGATGAGCAGACCCGACCCGATTCCCTAGTGGCTCCCTCTCGATTTCCAGCGTTCGCAGCGAGACCTTGCAACTTGCCGACCTCCTCTAGACGGCGAGGAGCAATCCGGCAGCGGGGGAACGAGCGGTGACTTCCGGCAATTGTGCAGCGGCAGCAGGTGGCGTGGGTGACGGCTCCGGTGATCCCCGCTGTTCTGTCAGCTTCCGGCGATGGTGGGTCAGCGGCGGGGCAGCCCTCTGCTCCGACAAACGATCTCCAGCGACTACCGGTTGGGTTCGGGCAGGCTTGGGCAGCAACGGGTATGCTCGGATGGCGTTAAGTGTTTCAAGGAGGTTGACGGTGAAACCCGAACGACCTTCGAATCGAATCGACAAATCAAGGTGAGTACGTGGACATCTAACACTAGAATATGCATATATGTTTGAAATTCCGTTCATAGTTATTATCGTGATTGATCTGCGTGAATTACGTGACTGAACTGTTTGGATGGTGGTTTCAAGGTCTATGCTTATTGAAAATGATAATATGCATGATTTAGGTGCCGATTGATGGAATAATGTGCTTGATAATAATTAGAATGGTAATATGAACTAATTGGTGTTTATTGCTATGATATTTTTGTTGGTTTGACGCTGGAAAAACGAAACAGGTACGAAACTGGAATATGTTGCATTGTTAGACGGTAGGTGGTACCGCCGGGACGGTACTGTGCTACCGTCACACTCTGTTTGGTTTGTCGCCTCTGCCGGTACCTGCACCGTACGGTACCTAGGTACCAGATGGACGGTAGGCCCTACCGCCCAGTCGGTAGGCGGCTACCGTGGCAGTCCTACCGGAAGGGTTCAATAGGTCTGAACGGTACCCCAGTACCGTAGAACCGGTACCCAGGTACCGTGAGGACGGTACCCCATACCGTGAAGGGTACCGTCTGGTACTTGATGCCGGGTCTGTCGATATGTGTTTTCGTCAAGGATTGATTCCGAGACCTTATGTGTTGTATGACGGTAAGTTGGGTATCAATACCCAATTCTATGCCGCTATGTGTTATGATTGTGATTGCTTTGTGTTGATTCAACACTTATGTGAACTAATGTTATTGTGGTGATCCAACACATGTGTGATTATGTGAAATACATGTATTTGGATATGATATTGCAAGTATGAGTGGGCTGATCCAGCACATAACAAACAGGTACCGCGTGTTGATCCAACGCACTAGTAAGGTAAGTCTACCCAAAGGGAATCTTTGGGACTGACATAAATATAGGAAGGTAAGAGTATAAACCAGGTGGATGCCTGCTCGGCTCCAATTGTTAAGTCGAACCGGGTAAAAACGTACGTACGGGTATCCTTGAACTGCCTCATCAGGTGGGGATTCCACCCACCCAACGGAGAACTTCTTCGTTGGTCGAGCATGACCCAGTGGGAATCATCATGTCTCACATATAGTAAAGTTATAGTCCTTAGACTAGTATAGGTTATAGGGATAGGGCTTGGTGATCCATCAACCATGAGAGCTCCCTCGTTTGTCGAGCATGATCCGCTGATCCAGTGGGAACAATCATTAATTAGTGTAGAGTTCAAGTACAGATGACTGGTGATCCACCACTGCAAGAGACGCTTCGTTTGATGAGAATGGAAAAGGCAGGTGCCAGGTAAATTATATGATGAATTGTTTATGTGAACTGCATGATATTAAACCTATGTGCATGATATCATGTTATGATTATGAATTAGTGGGTTCGCATATGTGTATGTTCGAACTGTTAGATATTTCTCACTCAGCTTCGTTGCTGAGCTGTAGCCTCTTTTTCCCCTTGTTACACGTAGGTAATCATGGAGGGGTTGACCTTTAAATACGTCCTGGAGGGCAGCGTGACGGAGGAGACGTACGGATGCAGGGATTTAATAATGTTTGATTTAATTATAAAGCTTCCGCACTGTTTGTATAAACTCTGATATGTATTTAAATGGTTTGTATTATTTAGTATTAAATTAAATGTTTTTTTATTTATTGAAAAATATTGTATGTGGATACCAATTTAGTAGCAACCCGGTTCGCTATTCTATTTATTCGGGTTATGCGGGTTGGGGTGTTACAGACTCCGTTCCTAGCAGAGGTTGATAGAGTTGGACATAGGCAGTAATCTACGGTCATACATCTTCCTTCGTTCATATTAATTTTATATTTTTAATTTTATCTGAAACCTCAAAATGAATTTACTGAATGTTGATGCATCTTTACCGAATATTTAGTAATGTTCTCTTCTCTTTTGTATTAGCTTTTTTTATTTATAGGTTTCTTTAGAGATTATGCACTATGAATTTTAAAATGTGTATATGATGGTTATCAAGAGTGTATGTGGCTACATTGAGTTATTACATTTTGAGTTTCATTACGATTATTTGTCTTTAATGAGATTGTAGAGGCAAAGTTGAATTCAACACTCAAGATTATTTTGACTTTTTATGAGATTATAGGGATGAAGTTGAGATGAATACTTCACTTAGATTCAGCAGTTTGTGTGTTGACGCATATGGAAGCACTATGTGATATTCATGTTGAGGTAGGGTTTACCATATAACTAGTTCTCTACCCCGTGCTACGCACGGGCTTGTTTTTAGGGCTTGGTGTCGAATAGTGTTCTGGTCATGCTTGAAAATTGTAAATTTTATCTTGTGTTTTGTGTTACGTTTTGTAGGTGTTGGTGTTAGTGGTTAGAGTAGTTTTTTTTGTAGTTTTTAACATGGCAGAAAATAATTGTAAGGTTGGTATTTGTCGTTAAATAATGAATATTCATTTAATATTAAGAAAATAAAACAATTTATGCAAAAGCATTAGCCATTGAATATAATAATAGATATTTTAAATTTGGTATATGCATACACACACACAACATATATATACATGTGTGTGTGTGTGTTTTAACTACTAAATATGATATTTTTAATGGTGGATATAATAAATAAATATATAAGAAATGTAAAATAATTTAAACTAATGCTTATGCAACTGTTTAGAAATAAATCTATATTTTTAAAATGTATTATATTTCATATAAATCTATACAATTATAAGAATGACGCAAATGTATTATATTTCATATAAATCAATTTTTTAAATGGAATAAAATGGGAAAATGGTGTAAAAAGTTATACAAAGAGTTGCCTTTTAAAAAATTTAATAAAGTTTATAAAACCCTTCAAAAAGTAATTAATTAATTATAAGATATTAAAATATATTTTAAAATGATGAAGGACATATTAATATAATAATTTGAATGTGAAAAGTATTATAATTACAAGTTTATGGTAATTAAAAGAAATAATAATCATGAACAATTTTTTAAATAAAAAATAAACTAATAAATGCCATGTGGACCAATAAAATGATGACACTAAGCCATGTGGATAAATATTTTACCATGTCACACGCCACGTGTCTCCACTACAACTAATGAACTCTCCTTTACATATATATATAAGATTTTTTGGTTTGTATTAATTTTTCATTCTTAATAGAGTGAAAACTCACTCAAATTCTTTTACCTTTGTATCAAAAGCTATACCTATATATCTCTATTAACTTCTTTAGGAAGGTTTGAATGTCAATGCCTGAACTCACCGCCTCCCCTTTCCTTGAAAAAATTCATAGATACTTTCTGGTGCAATCCAAGAAAAATAGGAAGAGGCCTGGGTCTTTCTAATTACAATCTTTTTTGATAGCTTTCCCTCTTGTTGAAATGAGTTGATTTCAGTTTTATCAAGACACTTATTAAAAACTATTCTCTATTTTATGTGCACTATGTGGTAATATCTTTAACCATGTAATGATTGTCGATTGGGGAAATACAATAGTCATAAATTTATTCTTTGCTTCTAATATGATAATAATTTGAAGTTCACAGACTCAGTGTTTAGCTACTTAATTTTCAGGTGATGCAGTAGCCAAACAGAAGTCTCTTTGGACGTGAAGAGAATGATGGTTCAGTATAAAAAAGGTAAGTATTTATTCTACTTTTTATGTGTGTTTTTTTTTACAATTGAGAATCATCATACCAAATCTTTCATTTTTTATTTTTCAACGAGGATATGGCTTTGTTTTTAAACTAATTGCCCCTATGTAAGAAAAAAGTCGATTTTATGGTTCTGAATAGACCCATTTTGATTTAATTGATATGAGAGAGTATTCTGACATTAAGTTCCATCCAATTTCCATCTCTTAACATATATGGAGTACAAAGAAAATTTGTATTTATTAGTGTAAATTATATGCATGTTTCCATCTCTGACATTATATGCATGTTTCCATTTTTTTGTAAATTTTTTTACGATCTTCAAAAGATACTTAGATTTTTTTTCAAGCATATTTGTATTAGTGGTATAATAATTGTTACTAATTGAAAATTTAATTTCTTTGAGGTGAGGTTTTATGTGTTTTCAATGCTCCGTGTGTTGGATTCTTTTTAGGCGGGAGAGAGATGGGTTTGATACATTCTCGAAGTTGACAATGGTGAAGTCGGATTGCTGATAACAAAAGAGATTAGTATCCTGAGAATAGAGTAATGGGATAGGATTGAAATGATAACTCTGTCCTACAATGATTTAATTCCTGCAATAAAAAAACTACAGACGAAGAGATAACATCATTTCCTTCTTTTTATTTCAAGTTATTTATATTTAAATAATGCTTATAAGATTTTTGGCACTTGGGGATTAGTGAGGTAGGAACCGTAAATTTTATAAACGGGGCACTGAAAAACCTCCGAGTCATCCCATGACATTAATTTCCAATGTCATGGTAACTGGCATATACTTTTATTGGTGTTAACTCAAATATTTATTAAGCTCTTATCTATCATATAAATTCATTTTTTGATTTCTCACCCATCCACTTTATTTGAATTTGATTTATTTATATCATACGGAGTAAAATTTATTCATTTTTTCTTTAAAATAATAGTTAAATATTCAAATTTATTTATTTTTTCTTTAAAATAATACTTCTTCGTCCCAATTTAAATCGACTGTTTTGACTTTTGGGCATATTTAAGAAAAATAAAAATAGAGTTGATTTTTCAAAATTGACATTATTTTTTAGAAGGGGTGATGATGAATGAGAAGTTAAGGTGAAGAATAGTAATTTATTTTAGGGGTAGTTTAGTTATTTTATTTTTAAAAGTTTACGAAAACAATTAATAGGCAACTTATTTTGAGACTGAGAAAAAAGGCAAACAGGCAATTTAAAATGGGACAGAGGGAGTAGTTAAATATTCATACTGTGCAATGCACGAAAAGTGTTAAAGATTTTAATTTGGAATAAACACTTTCCTTCATGAAACCAAATTACGAATGTAGTTTATAAAGATGTGTTTCAAAACTTATAACACTTCCACAACTCCCCTTCTTTTTTCTATTTTTTCAATTTATATAACCTTTTAAGTTTTTGTAACATTTTTCCTTATTCAAAACATTGAGTAATTATATGTCAATTAATAGCTCGTGCATCGCACGGGTACGAGTCTAGTTTCTTTTTAAACTTGAACTTCATTTTTGGCCTTCTGCTACGTTCTTCTCCAAAAATAAGATATCTAATAACTTGGTTAGGAAAAATAAAAAATAATAGAATGTAAAAAATGATTAAAAACTACTATTTATGAAAGAAAATAAAAGGAATGTAAAAATGAAAATAAAAATAAAACTAAACTAAACAATTAAAAACTAAACTCTAAAAGTATTAAAAATGCCTTAAAAAAATAAAAAGAACTAACCCAAACCCGACTTATCAATTATGTATCAACTTATATTTTACATCTATACAAGTACATTCGTTTACTAAACAAACTACATTCAGAAGATGTTAGTATGCTTTAATATGGACCAAGCACATCCGATCCGCTGAGCATACCCATAGTTGGCGATCGTTAAACATACATAAAGATCCTTATCGCTCCCAAAAAGAGGGCGAAGAAGTACTTTGTCCAGAAGTACCATATTTAAGCGCGATTGGTGCACTCATGTTGTTAGACGCCTCGCACACCTCTAGAGGGGGTGAATAGGGGTGTTGCCCAAAAAACCATTTTTTTTGCGCAAAAACGTTCTTTGTGAATATTCAATAAAAACAATGCACCACAAACAAAATAAAGTGAAGGATAAGAGCAATGCACACACGATATATACTGGTTCGGCCTAAATGCCTACATCCAGTCCCCGAAGCAATCGTGCCCATGCCTTCACTAACCCGTCAAACTTAACGGAGTTTGACAATCCGAATACAACTCGAGAACTTGATTTCACAAGCCTCTTATCTTACCACCAAAGTTTTGATTTCACAAAACTCAGGATTTCTTCCACCTAACGTTTGATTTCACAAACCGTTAGGATTTCTACCACTTGGTGTAATCCCAACACCAAGAATACAAATCCCTTACAATAAAGTAAGAAAACAAACCGCAACC